CGAGACCGAGACTAACCGAGACCGAGACTGACCGAGACCGAGACGGCTCGCGCCGAGAGTCTCGGCTCAATCTCGGTCTCGGTGCATCCCTATAAACCACAACACGCTATTAACATCGGTTCTCATTCTCCTTTAGCTGAACATCCACGTCGAGTCTTACACCTTAAGCGACAAATTATTAATAATGAAGTTAAGAAAATGTTAGATAATAGAATTATTGAACTTTCGAATTCCCCTTGGGCTTCTCCTGTTGTTATAGTTAAGAAATCTGATGAATCTTCAAAGTTTTGCATAGACTATCGGCGTTTAAATTCCATTACTCAAAAAGATGTTTATCCATTACCTGTATCGATGATGTTATTGAACGTTTAAATGGATCTCAAATATTTTCTAAACTTGACTTACGTAGTGGGTACTTTCAAGTACCTTTAACACCTGAAAAACGTGCTAAAACTGCATTTACAACTTCTGATGGTCTTTGGGAATTTACCATATTACCTCAAGGATTAAAAAAATTCACCATCAGTTTTTCAATGATTAATGAACCAAACCCTTGGATGATTACGTTGGGATATATGTCTCGCTTACTTGGATGATATTATCGTCTATTCCCCTTCATTTGATCAACATCTTTTAGACGTAAATCAAGTATGTCAAGTATTCCATGCCTCAAATTTTAAATTAAGCTATAATAAATGTGCATTTTTTCAACATGAAATTTCATTTCTTGATCATAAAATTAATGCTGATGGTTGTTCATCTAATAATGATAATATTCGTTCTATTACTCAATTTCCTTTACCTCAATCCAGTAAAGCTGCTCATTCTTTTTTACAAATGGTTGGCTTTTATCGAAAATTTATTCCTCGATTTCCTCAAATATCAGCACCACTCAATGAATTTACTCGGAAAGGTTTTCCATTTATATGGACTGAAGCAGAACAATTATCATTTGATCAATTAAAAGACGCTATCAACTCTTCTGCGGTTCTTATTCTACTTGATCCTTCACAACCATATGTTATTCGTACAGATGCTTCACGTGCCGGTATAGGTGCTGTACTATTACAAAAGCAACCTCCTGATTATAGAGATAAATCAACTACATCAATATATAAATCAGTTGCTTTTGCATCAAGAAGTTTAAAAGCAGCTGAAAAAAAATATTCTGCTATTGAACTTGAAGCATTAGCTATTTGGTGAAGCGTTACTCAAAAATCTCGATCATATATTGAAGGTCAACAATTTTGTCTTGAAACTGATCATAAACCATTAATATCATTAATGAAAAAACCTTATCATAATGCTCGTATTGAACAATGGATGACAACATTACAACAATATGATATGATTATCCAACATATATCTGGAAAAGATAATACAACTGCTGATACTCTTTCCCGTTATCCAGTTGATCAACCTGATGTTAATGACGAAGATGCACCTCATCTTGTTACTTCTTCAACTCAAACTGAAGATCTTTTCGTCAATGTTGTTACAACTCGTTCAATGACACGACAACATCCACCTCCTATTTCTTCAACAACAACTTCATCATTATCTCCTTCTCCTAGAACAACAACACCACCTAGGATATTCCGATCTACTCCACCTGTTGCATCTTCTTCTTCATCTCTTAATGACATTAATATTTCATTCGATCATGATACATTAAATCTACATCAAAATCAAGATTCTGCTATCCAGGTAATAAAAAATGTTTCACCATTAAATCCTAAATATACACTTGATGATTATAATATCCTTTATGAAATTATTACTCGAAAGAATGGTCATGTTCTTCAACTACCGTATGTTCCTGCTTCTTTAACTCCTCAAGTATTATTAATGTATCATAACTCGACATTCAGTGGTGGCCATTTCGGTATTAAACGCACTTTTTACAAGATACACGCCCTTTTTTTCTGGTCGAATATGTACAAAGATATCGAACGACATATTTTATCGTGTATTAATTGTCGAAAGAATAAACCTTCCCGTCGAAAACCTGATGGTCATTTACATCCAATTGAACCACCTCGTGGAGTTTGGGAACGTCTTGCTATGAATTATGTTGGTCCTGTTTCTCAATCAAAATCCGGTAATAAATACTTTCTAGTACTAACCGATTTATTTTCGAAGTTCGTCATCACCAAAGCCGTCTCCGATAACACGTCAACAACAGCTGCTAAATTCTTATTATATGATGTCGTTATGATCTATGGTGTTCCATTTGAAATTGTTACTGATAATGGCACACATTTTTCTTCTTCGTTGTATGAATCCCTACTCAAGTTAACTCAATGTTGTCATGTTAAAACCACACCTTATCACCCCAAAGCCAACGGTCAGTGCGAAAGACATAATGCAACTCTAGTAGCTAATTTAGTTGCACTTTCGAATCAATCTCGATCTAATTGGGATGACAAATTAGTCGCGACATCTTTTAATTATAATGTTACTCGACATGATTCTACTGGTTATACTCCATTCGAATTAATGTTTGCTCGTCAATCTCGTTTTGTAGCTGATTTATCCTCATCATTTCCATCAAGTTCTCATACTGTTTCTCATTATTATCATACTATGCAACAGTTTATTGAGTATACAAAAATTGCGGCTCGACAAAACAATCTTCGACACCAACAATCTTCTGAACAACGTTATGATCAAAACCGTTCGAATCCTCGATATTCTGTTGGTCAATCCGTCTTAGTTCGTAATCGAAATCCACATATCAACAAGTTCTCCCCACGATTCGTTGGCCCCTACGCCATTCTCGATCAGTTGCATGATAAAACATATGTTGTTCCAAACGATAATACCAGTCATCAAGTACAAGTACCTGTACACGACATACGGTCCCTCAATTAACATATTACCTCCTGATGAACTTATACTTTCATATAACTCAAACCATATCTCATGACATACTTATGTTTATAAAAAAAAGAAAAACCAACAACAACGGAATTACTATTGTTCCTTCTCATTTATTTTTCATATTCACTGTATTAATTTTTTGTTCTCAGTTATGATGTTATTACACCTC